GAAGTGTTGTTTGAACAAGACGGTTTTTATCGTCATCGGGAGCCCAAACAATAAAGTACTCAGTGATAGTGACTAAAAGATCATATTTTCGATCTTGATCATTTTCATTAAAATTATTAGCATAATCACATTTATTATTGTATGATGTTTTTCTAAGCAATTGCAATGAAAGCAATACTCAAATGATTTGCGCAACACACAAGAAAAACATATACAAATTATAATTAATCATTTTATGGAAAACCCAGAATTATCGATAATTAAATAATAATTAATAATATTGGAACGAACCTAATTTGAAATACATATCTCATTTCGTTAACATACTCGGTTGCTTTTTAAGACAAACTTATAATAATTACAGGTGAAAAACGTATGACAAATATATACATACAAACTTTAAATATGAAAATAAGAAATATTATACATATGCATTAAAATTACATTAAAACGTCATACATAAATCATAAATTATATAAATATTGAATTTTTTAAGAAAATTACCAAAATAATAATTTTAAAAAAACTTAATAAAGTCATTAGATTGTAATTTGTAAAATGAAAATTTTGCTCACATTACAACACGAAAAGAAGAAAAAAAATATGCAAATAACTATAAAAAATTTTCGAAATTCGAAGCGTTTACAGGTATTCTCTTGCAATATTGCGAGTAAAAAGTTCACTTATAAGTCAAGCGGGCTTACCGAAATTGTGTATCATATATAAGTGGTTGCGATAGTAAGTCATAGCAGCTGAACATGCACTACGTTTAATTATTTGTTTAGTAAAGGACACTCTTCGCAAGCACCCCAACGAAACTCATCCAGCAGCCAATCGATGTTTATTTTCACGAGAAAAGTGATGATTACCGGTAATAACAATACTTGACACTTTTCGATACGTATATGATTTCGATGTATAAAAAGCCACAATATATCGCTGTATTATCATGTTAGTTGTTCTTTTGCACGTGTTATACACTCGAGAAATCGTTTCTTCCGTCTAGGGAATAATGATGACCATCCCTTACTTTACCTAGACATTTCTAAACGTCGAATTCCACCAAAATAGTACGCACAAATCTAAATTGACATTTACTATTGACCTAACCGCATCAAAGTGATATGTAGACATTTTATATTACATACCAAATTATAACGTGGAAATTATGTACTATTTACTGTGGCGTAGCAAGGATTTTGTAAGAGAAGTGTTAATTATAAATATTATTCAATGTCTATAACTTATTTGATATTTGATATTTGATATTTATTTATTTTTAAAACAAACAATTTACAACAGGGTCATTGAATATAAATATATGAGCGTCTGTTCACCTCCTATAAGCTAAGCTTGTATTGAAGGTGTTGAAAACATAATATAATTAACAAATAATTAACAAAAATATCTGATTCATAACAATATCTCTAAACTATAACTTCTGATTTTAATTTAAAAAAAAATATATTTATAAATTAAATAGGACTGTTGACTTGTAATCAATAGATAATGAGAATAATAAAGTATAAAATAAAATAAATATTCCTTTGAGGGAATGTAATAACCTTCAATTTCCCCTTATCTTGTGAATACGATATTGCTTTATTTATAATATTTAAATTAGGATTTTCACTTCCACGTAGTCAGAGGCTTGGAAGTGACAAATTTCTATGATTATAACTATATCTAAATCTGTTGTTTAATTATTAGTTTGAGAATAGATTAAAAATAATTTTAAAAAAACTCGATACAATGACGTAGCAATATGATGCTAGAAATAAGTACTTAATAAAATTGTTAATAAAGTTATTAATATTAAGGCAGTTGTAGTTGTTAGGTTTTTTCTCTTCTAACATTATTCAACGAGAGAAGTTTGAGAATCGTTTGTTATTTATAATAATTACCTACTAACGCGTGTGAGTTTTAAGAAACAATCTTGCACTATTAATAAAACGTATTTATTGTCTTACCAGCTACTGGGCTACTGCAATAGGAAAGTAACTGGAAAAAATTTTCAGGAAAATGATTATATTGTTTTTTTTTTTTAGTTTCTTAGTATTGTAAGAGAATAGTGATTAACGATCTATACTGATGCTTACAAAATCGTCTTGACTTTTTTTTATAAATTCTATATTTTATAAAACCCAAATACTTTTTCATTCATTTCATGTCTAACTCCGAAGAAGAATCATTAGTCTTATATTACAGTGATGTTATTATATTTTCAAAGGTAAATAATTTTCGTTTTTATTTGCACTAAAACCTAAATATAATATAATAGTTTCATCTAAATAGTGATCCATTTCATTGTATCCAAACAAAACATTTTAAATATTTCGCAATCATATTTTATTAATATGTTATATTTCAATAAAGAGAACGTTGATAATTATTTCATAAATTAATTCAGTTTTCTCTTAAATATTTCGTTTTTTCCTCTAAGTATAATACCAATGAATCAAAAAGTTCACGAAATTGTTCTACCATTGGAAATATTTATCACGATTCGCTAGACAATTGAACTTTTTATCGCAGTTTTAGTCTCAGACAAACAAATTTCGAATTCAAAAGCGCTGCTCAACTGTCAACTAAAAACTTATTTGATTTACAGAAATTAACTTATAAATTGCTTGTTTGAATCCATTTATTTTATTTATTAAATCCTTTTTTGCGTTAAAATACGCTTTTCTCTCGTTTCATTTGTAAATGACAACATTTCACCACACAAACTTTATTCTTTTACATAAATTAAACGTAGTACAGTTTAAAATTGAACATTGCGTTTTGGATGGCTGTTTGTGATGAAAAATCGTTTTCTACTTTCTCAATTTAATGTTTTGAATTCAGTGAAAAAGATATTTAGGTGCTCCTAGGTAAGATAACATTTACTGTTGTCGAACATTTATTATTAGCATTATATTCTAATGTGATAACTGCGACTCAATGACTTTGATCTGAAAATGTGCATTGTATAGTTCAAAATAAAAATAATATTCTTATTCTCAATAGATATATAACGATGTGTTAATTAAAATTTAACACCATACTTGTATTTTGTTGAGACAAGAAAAAACATAATTGAACGATAATCACACTTCAAAACCAGATTATCAGATACAATAGAACATTTCAAAACGGTTTTCAAAACATATAAAGCTTCAACATATTTTACCTCTATTTAGGAGGCAGATAACTACGTATACCAGACCACTGTGGTTTGATGTGTAAGCTTTGAATTTTAACATTTTAAGGTCATTGCCATACAATATTACTACTATAAAATCACGTCTTGTTGGTTTTGTTATGCGTCGCAGCAATGAAACACCAATACATCACGGTGTTAACGAACAAGTGTCACATGAAAGCGATTTATCACTTRATCCTGRCAATATATGTACACGCAGTTGCTGACATCTCGAAAAGCAATAATGCATTATTATCCTGCACATTCACCTCCTGTTCGTGTTCACTCTCGGTGGATGTTGAAATGTAGAGCCGTTCGGGCATACCTACTTAAAACTCACGTAGATTAAATAATCATTCTGCAGGGGAGGACATATAATATTATCAATTACGGCAATGGAGGAGAATGATAAATGATAATGTCAACAGAGATAAAATATGAACACTTTACGCGTGGAGTGTCTTTTATATACCTATTTTATATGAGATATTTCGAAAGATCGTTCCCGCGTTCGGGGAAAATACTATCGACTGTCCATTGCAGTTGTGTGGTGACAAGAAATATTAAATATCTGAAAATCTGTTAGACGCAAAGCAGATGTCTGTATGAAGGAAAAATAAAATTCATTAATATTTAAATCACTCAAGAATTCTAACACTCTTGATTTGGAATTACGAAGACAAGCATCAGTGTGGTGAGACAATATATCTATTACCAAGGCTCAAATTATTGATAATTATAAAGTAGAGAAGCACAATTCAAAAATTTTGAAACTGCGTTTGAAGTGCAAAATTATTTAACATCAACCTGCAGTGAAGTGCTTTGCCTCCCACCCAACCTTCACATTCTTCAAATTTTAATACTAAATTTCAACTTAGTTAAAGCATTTCAACTTTTTTATATTTTAAATACAATATATAACTAAGTAACATATCAGTGAGTATAGATTATGTTTTATATACACCTTATTTTTCAAAAATCTCCCCAAATCCATTTCATACACTCAGACATTCAGTTACTTAAAATATCCATTATTTCCATATTGATAGCAATAATACCTACATTTTTCAGTAGAAAAATAATTATAATAATTATCAGTGATAATATGTTAATTTGTAGTTAAGACGCACGCCTATTTCAATAATTTTAAACACTAGCCCACAGATATTTGATAATACAATAGCTTACTATAAATAACTACAAAGCTTTTTTATTGTAGATTATTAAAAGTTATTTTTATAAAAATATTGATTTATCCGAATGAATGTTTGAACGTATCATTTTTTTTTATTGATTCAAATGTTTATTTAAAGGATAATAGTCATTAAAAATAGTTTTAAATTTGATATAGTGTCTATTATGCTATTGAATTGTTATAAATTATAAAATATTAAATTATTAATATTAATAACTGTAATATTCCAATCATGCAGTCCCTATATCCTCCAATAATTATTATAATATCGTGGACTTATACTTACAATATAAAGTTAAGAATTCAACAAATTAAATTAAAATGTATTATTTTATTACCTCTATTATTAGTTTAAATCAAAATTTAAATATAAACATCAAAGTTTTCAAAAAAATAAGTTGGGATCGTCACATAATTCTAAACTGTATTCAAAATTCAAAAATATTCATTACTAAAAGAAAAATGGTAATTGGTATGCTTCGTTTAATATTTTGTACATGTTATGTGTATTTTGATTTATCACTAATAATATCATTCAATAGTTTTAAAAAATAAACTGTAGAAAACTAGTAGTAGGTACTGACTGAAAAGTTAATCAAAAAAAAGAACATAAAAACTTACAGAAAAGGTTGAAAAATATAGTATTGTTATTTTCCAAATGAACAGTTTCCTCTTYACCCCTATATTGTGTATAGTGTTGGAATAGAGTTGTTGTCATTCATCATGCAATTTACTTCTTAAATTGAGTATCTGTAAACATTACATAGTTAGAATATTTTTAAATGAATAATTAATATATATTGAGTACATAATCATTTATAATAGGAAAGTATACATTAAATTAAATTTATGATACTATACACTATTTAAATTAAAATTAAAAATAATAAAACGACTTATATATTTTCGAATGGATATATTATTTTTATTATTATTTATATCATTMAATATGGTATTATATTTTCTCAATTAATTGTACCATAATATAATTCGATATAATATAAAATTATGTATGCAATTATTAAATTGACAGTTAGATGCAATTTAGATGCACCATTTTTTTGAAACTTCATGAGTCACGAGAGYATATTTTTTTAGAAAAACTATCGAACTAATATGGATAATATTGGAAAATGTATATCAAATCGTTGAATCCAAGAGATCGAATGTTAACCAAACTGGTCATAAGTATTTTGTTCTAGCATATAACATACTCTATGATGTTATGAGACGTATATTATATATATTAATTTTTTTATATAAATGTAATATTTAATGAAGTTTTTTTCTATTACATTTGTTTTTATTTT